TCAAGCTAAATTCAAGGTGGCCTGAGACCACGGTTTGCTGCCCTAAAACACTCTGTTCAGGCCACCTTGAAAATAAAGGTCTTGTAGCTACAATTCTGTTCCCAGGTATGGCGCGCATCAGGCTTCACAGACAGTGGAAATAGCTTCTTCCCGGCTTTGCACTGCGAATCAGCCCCACAAAAGCGCGCAGCTTCTCAGGTAGTCAGTTGTCATTTGGTAGACAGTCGAATTGCATTTCGACCTCACTTTGTAGAGTCATGTTGGTACAACATGACCCCTCAATACCCTCATTTTGTAGAGATAAAAAGTCAAATTCTCTACAAAATGACATTGGGGCCAATCATTTTGTAGAGGGGATCATTTTGTATAGAGTCGACGCGGTGTTCTCTACAAAATGAGGGCCTCCACTCCCTCCTTTTATTCCAAGGGAAATCTTTTTGGAGAGGTGCCTCAGAGAAAAAAAATGCGGTTCTGTGTTTGCACCCGGGCCAACACAAGGAGACTACTAGTAGCTTCTTGCTGCTAGTCGTAATGCCCTTGTTACTAAGTAGCGGTGCCCTTGTTACTGGTAGCATCAATTTTTGTTTGGTTTTTCCTTGAATGTGCAGGAGCTACGGGCAGAGAACGAGACGATACAACAACACCTGGGAGCGCTCACCTCAGATGTCCTGAGCTCAGACTGGTTTTGGATGGTGCGTTTGTGCGCACAAACCAGGCCGATGGCGCGGCGTTGAGTGAGTGTAAGCAGTACTAGGAACAAGGTTCGCTACTAGTAGCAAAGGGCATCGCTACTAGGAGCTAGGACGCTACTAGGGGCGCTCCTGGCCTTGCTGCTAAGAACAATGAAACTACTAGTACAGAGCGCATCAGTTTCCAGTTTGCCGTGTTGTCCTCAATGCGTGTGGGGCGTCACTGCATCACACAGAAAAGCACGGAGCCATGAAATGTCTCCAGAACCTTTGGCTCAACCTTGGGGCATTCCAGCGTCCTCGCACACACGGCTTCGTCGGGCTTTCTTTAGCTTTCACGGCTTCGTAGGGTTCATTTCCAAGAAATCAGAAGTCGGTAGCTTCCTTTGTGCTACAACAACTCGGTAGCACATAGATGCAACAAGAACACACTGGTATACTTGGTGTAGGTGGGTGCGCATCCACGCATGGGAAAGGCAACATGCTATTAGGAAATAAACGCGTCGGAGAGAAATGATTGCTATTAGGTTGGAGGCCATCGCTATTAAGTTGGAGGCCATTGGCTCTAGGTTGGAGGGAACAAGGAAGATTTAGTTTTCACAAGAAAAGGCCTAATATAGTTTCTCCAAACATCTAGGAACCAAATCATTGGTGCGTGAGCTATCCTGCGTCCTAAGTAGTAGTTTAAGTAGCTACTAGCTACCTCTCCCTTACTTAATTAAGTAGGTACCTCCTTAATTAAGTAGGGAGGCGGGGAGGGGGCAAAAGAACGGGTCTAAAGAATAGTCTAAAGGCTTTATCATCACATGCGGGCGTCTCGTTCCTTGCATGGATGCGGCTGCAGACTCCGAGGAGGATCTTCCAGCACTTTTTGAGGAGTCGGTTATATCGTTAACTCCACCCCCAAAGACTTTGGCCAGCAGATCTGGTTGGAAAGTTGTGGAAGAATCCTTGCATGATGGGGGTGCTATGCGCTGGATGGTCTGTGAACAGGATTATTCTTTGGATCAGACACGGGTGCGTCTAGTGCCACGTTGCAACGACCAAATGGATTTCCAGCGGAACCACTTACGAGCAAGCTCCCATCAAATCATGGCATTGGTGGTGGCCTATGGGCTGAGACAAAGCTTCGAGCCCAAGGGTCGTGCCGTGTGCATCTTGGGCGGTGGTGGAATGGCACTACCCATGGCACTTCTAGAGCAAGGAGTGCGCTCACCTATTCATGTGGTAGAGCTTCACGAGGTGGCAACTTGGTCACCAAGGCAAAGCCTTTGGGCTTTGATTTTGAGGGCTTTTGAGAAAGCCTACTTTTTGGGGGGTCATTGAAGTGTCGTCCATCGAGCCGACGAACTTTCAAACAAGGTCTACAGATGCATAGAGTTCATTGTTGTGTATGTTTTATCAGCTGCCTCCAATATAAGGACTCTTTTAGAAGAATGATTGCAGGGCAGTCCGGGTTTTGATGGAGGGAAATAGTGTGTGTGTGTGTGTGAGTGTGTGACACTTTTTGGAATCATAAGGAATCCGTTGATTTGCTTTTGAAGTTTTACTTAGTAGGGAGTGCGGCATGATTGTGGGACCGCACTCAACGAAGCTACCACAATCATGGGATACCGAGTCTGATCAACTCGGCGTACCTGCAGTTTTGCCTGAAACATTCCTACTAGGCCCCGTTCTTAACTAGAACAAGACTTCGGCCATTGCAGCGGTTCATCATTTTTGAGGTTTCGAAGACGTTCAGAAGGCCATACATGCACGCACCCTGTTTCTCTAGGTTTTTTACTTCGGCTGGCGTGTGGCAAGCCGCCGTGTCAGTACTCAATATCTCGAGTGTGTGACACCGAAGCCTACAAAGAGTTTAACGGCGCACTCTGTGCACACTTTGCGGCCAATCAGGTCATTGACTTCGCCAAGACCTTCTTCGGAGCGGAGCATCCGCAGCTCATGGTGCAGCAGGGAGATGCCCTGGAAGTTTTCCAACGAGACAGTGAGACAAAAATGGAAGGCAGGGCCAGGTATTTGGTGCATCGAGCAGTTTTTGCAAAATGTGACCTTTGGACGCTAACGGGCACGTGGTTATTTCGGTGCGCTTGAGGTGCATGACGGTGAACCAAAAGATGCAGCAACTTTACCCTGAAAGGCCACGAGGGCATGTTGCCGGAGAAACTGTCAACCATATTGGTGGACATCGACTTCTTGCGTTTTCCTCAGGCGTGAGAGACATGTTTTGGAGCGTTCTTGGGAAGTGGCACCCAATCACTAAAAGGGAAAAGAACCTAGAGGAAATAATCAAAAACCATTGAACGCATATACACTTGGAGGTGTTTCTGCCTGGAGTTTAACTTTGTCTAAATGCTCTGTTGTGCTTACACCGCTTAAAGCTATAGTTGTTTTCTGCCCCCAAAAATCGGCTCCATCTGGTTCACTTGTTTGACGGCTTAAGCTGGTTTCAAGTTCCAGCCCAGGTCCCCGAACGGTTTCTTTCCGCCAGCTGGTGGAGCTTCCTGTGGGCCAAAGACCCAACCCTGGTGGCAGTGAACGCGATTGGCGCATCCCGCCCTCATCTGGAAGCTCTGGCTGCAGCGGCGACGGTCAAGAGTGGCAGTGCGTTGCTGCTGGCGCCGGCCGAAGCTGGTCATTGCCGGTGGTCCCCGCTGGTGCCGAAGCCCCAAGTCTTGTTGCTGGGAGGCCACTCCGCGGTGGCCGAGTTCACGACTGAGCGATTGTTGGAGACCTCGGAGGCTTTGGCCCTCAAAACGCCCTGGGTCTTGGTTTTGGCCTCGGATTTGCTGAAGGATTTGGCCACCAAAGGCGGCGCGGCCGGCTCGAGCGAATGGTTAGTTCAGCCAGTTCAGCCATATTCTGGATCTCTGAGATCCAAATGACGCGTCAAAAGACAAATGGTGCTCCCACAGAGTACCGGTCAGCGAGTTATGAGAATCCGATGGCCTCCAACCTAATAGGGATGCCCTCCATCCTAAGAGCGATGGCCTCCAACCTACCATGCAAATGTTAGCCAGAACCTGCAGAGTTATGAGAATCCGAGGTCCACCTTTTGGCTTCTCAACTTGCATCGCGAAAGGAGGCTGACTGAAACGCTCGAAGGATGTCAAGATTTCATCACCTTGACCGTCCTGTCCTTCTGTTTCTTCTTTATAGTAATAGTTTTTTTCCTTGTCCGGGCCGGGGCAAGGTTATGACTCTGACTTTTGCCTGCGCTTGAGGAGGGCCAGTTAGATGTCAATAGTTGCCCACCGTTGCACTTTTGGCCCCACAGCTGAAGCCGACCAACCAGACATGTTCGGCAACCAACGATGAACAACACCAATCCACTGAATAAACTTCCAACAGTGACCTCTGAATAAGTGAGTTTCCTTTGAATACCGGCCATGATCGCTGAGCCTTTGTTCAGCGGCTGGCTCTACAAGGAGTCTACCTGGCTGCGCAGGTGGAACCAGCGGTTTTTGAAGCTGGATGTCCCTTGGGCAAGCATCCTTAATACTAGTAGCGATGCACCTTGCTACTAGTAGCTTCTTGCTACTAGTAGCTTCTCGCTACTAGTAGCAATGCCCTTGTTACTAGTAGCGATGCCCTTTGCTACTAGTAAAGAAAAGTTGCAGTAGTGGCTAATGACATCTAGGGTCCCTAAGAGCGCTGGGAGGATAATCTTCCACAATTACTTTCTGTACCAGCCAGGTAGGTACGGCAAGTGTGAGCAAAAAAAAGTATACAATGATACTTGGCTGCCTGAGGCTAATGGAGTGTTGAGGAGCTACACCAAGGACCCTCACTCTGAGGTGGGGGAGATTTCTGCTCGTTTGGCTGCAAGATTCTCCGCAACATTAAACACTCTGGAATAAGAAGTGGATGGCACCGCCTGTTTGTAGAGGAAACTGGTCATCCTTTCCGGGCCATTTTTCACTTCCATGATTGTTTCAAGGAGTGTACGTACGCATTTTGCATTTGTTTCGTACGTACTTGCAATGAGGTGTTTTAGATCCAGATATATTTCAGTGTTTTTTTTTTTGGGGTGAACGTTTGATCGGTCAGGCCTTGCAGCCGCGCTGCCCTGATCTCACGGCCGAGGCAAAAATGCCGACTCGGGACATCGGACGACGAACGTGTCGAAGCGAGGTGAAGCGAGGTCCGCAGCGAGGTGAAGCGAGGTGAAAGGAGTGTCGAAGCGAGTTTTCGCACATTTTACGGTTTTCGTTTCAAGATGGAAGTGGTTACAAGCAGGGAAGCAACATTCTGTCTACCAAACTTTGTATCGCAGGTCGATGTGCTTGATTCAGAGATCTTCGAGTTTGACACCTCTGGATTTTACAGCTTCGATGCTCGATCAGTGTTGGAGGCAATTCACCATTCTTCTAAGAAAGGCGCGACGTAGAGTCGAGATCTATAGGGCCCCATGACCGGAGAGACCTCTTTGGCAGAACTGGATTTATCAGCCACTTTCCACGATTACCACATAAATGGAAATAATATATATATATATATGACCACCATCTATTTCTCTTCTAAATGGCGTCCTGAGGAAATTGTTACGCGGCACCAGCGGCTGCACCTGGGTACTCGTGATGCGTTGATACGGAGTTCATGGCTTTGCGTGCTCAAGGTGCCTGGGTTTGACAAACCCAATAGCGATGGCCTCCAACTAACCTAATAGCAATGACCTCCATGCAGTTTGCAGTGGACCCTCACATTTCACAACGCGTTTTTCGGGCTTCTCCTTGATTCATTGAGATTTGGCCAAGTTTGCTGTGATGCCACCTCTTTGATAAAGTCAACTTCTGAATCTGGATGTTCTCTTTACCATCTGAGAGTTTGATGTCGTCCTATGCCCTAGGAACAAGAAGCTACTAGGAACAAAGGGCATCACTACTAGGAGCAAGGACGCTACTAAACTAGTAGCCCCTGGCCTTACTACAAGCAAAAAAGAAGCTACTAGTAACAAGGGCACCGCTACTAGTAACAAGAAGCTTTCTGTTGAGGCAGTTGCGGACAAGCGGCGGCCGCAGATCTTGCGTGAGCCGATCGAAGTGAGCATGGAGACCGAGCCGAAGCCAGTGGAGACGAACATCGAGACTCGAGAAATGGCCACGCAGACGATCGAGTTGCCCGAGACGAAGGCAGAGAAGAGGGAGAATGGCCTCCAACCTACTAGCAAACCATATTAGATTAATTATATGTTAATATGTTTTTCCTAATAGCGATGGCCTCCAACCTAACTGCAACGGCCTCCAACCTAAGGCGGAGAATACGGAGAATGCGGAGAACACGGAGAATGCGGAGAACGAGAAAACAACTGGAGCGCCAGGAAAGGGAGGGAAGGGCAAAGGCCCGCGTGGCCCACCCCCACCCCCACCGAAAGGCAAAGGCAAGAAGGCGTCTAAGGACAAGGAGGGAAGCGCAGCAGGCAAGGCGAAGGGCAAGGCAAAGGGACCTCCCCCACCACCGCCTTCCAAAGGCAAGGGCAGAGGCACAAAAGATGGCAAAGGCCAAGGCCAAGGAGCCAAGCCTGCAAAGGAGGAGACGCTGTCAGTCGAGGCAGGTTCCTCAGAGGCAACCCCCATCTCTCCAGCAACTTCAGACCAGCTCCCTTCCTCTCCCAACAAGTTTGGTTACAAGATGCACTTGGGCTTCAAAGAGAAGGTCGCTGCTTTCGCCGGTCTCGACTTCCAGAATGTGAACTTGAAGCCTGATGATTGGGAGAACTTGCATGTACTCTTCGACCGGGAGCAGGTGACAAAGCAATCCAGCCGTGGCAAAGGAGCAGCATCCTCTGACCAGGTGTGTGTTTACGACTCGTCAACAGCTCGATCACTCAGCGAATTGTCCGCAGAGGGCCACCTTTCAAGGTGGAAGAATCAAGCGTCAAGAGTGTTGAGGTAATTGGGGGATAGGTTTACCCACAATTACCCACAACCACCAGAGTGAATCAAAGAACATAACTCTTGGCGTCTCAAACGTAGCCTCATCTCCAAGTGTTGCCAGTGTTGCAAGGTATTTTCCTGAAGAAGAAGGAGATGGAGAACATAGACCCACACCACATGTGCCAGGCCTTGTGGCGCATGCAAGCGAAGGTGGCGAAGCTAACTGTTGAGGACTGCGGTATGGTCCGCTATGCCACCAAAGAGAAGAAGATGGTAGAGACTTGGCGTTTGCTTTGGAGTTATGTGGAGTCCTAGGACCTAATAGCGTCAGGAGCCCCTAGTAGTAAGGCCAGGAGCCCCTAGTAGCATCCTTGCTCCTAGTAGTACGGCCAGGAGCCCCTAGTAGCGATGCCCTTTGAGTTATGTGGAGTCTCTGGACTTTCTTCGGTTTGAAGCCTATCAAAAGCGCAACTCAGGCGTACGCGGCCCTTGCCACACGCAAGGCGATCCTCGAGTACAAAGTGAAGGACGGTGACATCACGCCGGAGGAATCTCAGGAGTATCAGACGATCTTGAAGTCTCCTGAATATCAGGACTGTTTCGATCTGTTGAGCAGCCCAAGTTGTGTTTTCACCATGCGGATGGCTTGACACGAGCGTGGTGAATCTACCTAATCTCGTTTAATCTCGTCTGGGTTGGAGGCCATCGCTAGCAGGTTGGAGGCCATTGGATGGCTAAGCTAGCCCGGGCCAATCTCGCAAAGCTTCAGGCGATCCAGATGTTTCGAGACCTGGAGAAACGTGTCCTGAAAATTCTTCAGATCCCGCAGATGAAAGCGCGATTGAGGAGGGGTGAAAGACGTGCAAGTGGAAAGGAAGAAAGGATAAAAAAGGCAGGAAAATGAAGGTCAAAAGGACACTGCGGAACAACATGAACACAAGGAATGGTATAGTGGGCAGTGCTGGTGGTCTGAAAGCCTTGAGGCTCATCGCATAGATTGCTAAGCACCGGTCATGTGTTTGTTTCGTGTTGTTTTCCCCGAAATGTTATGTAAGTAATGCTTCCGTAAGTTTCCATCTTTATGACCATTCGTAAGTCAAGTCATTTCCCAATTTCGAGTGCAGTAATGTTTTGACACACCCTCCGGACTCCTAAATGTATGTTCACGTTGTGGTGCAGAGGTTTTCTTCAATCCTTTCTGTTGGCAATCCTCTAAGCACATGGTAAGCTGAATGCATAGTGGGGCTATATAATATACCTTTGGACAAGTGGAGGGCAGGTTGGATAACGCCAAAGCCGACACAGTTGGCTTAGTGGATAGCATGCACGCTCATAATGGAAGCGGATGGCCTCCAACTCCAGGATGCTCGAAGTCATGGGTACTTGGAGAGAATCGGCTCGGATGCTCAACAAGAACTTGAACCTCATCCGTGGAGCTTGTGAGGAGTTTAGGAGCTCTCAGACCTTGAGGTGGGCCAAAGAACATATGCTCACCATCGCGCACGTTATGATGTTACTTAATTACGATGTTATTCACATATTATATTGACTGAGGCCAAATGTGACTTATAATTTCTAATGTCAGCATGTTTAATGATCAATACATATCAATAACGCTATAACAATACTCTATATATAAATTATATAATTGTTTTTTTTTTTTTAAACTGAAATGCTTGTGTAAGACTTCTCCGTTGACTTTGCTCGTTGACTTCTATGCGAGGGGTTCTTCCTTGATACGCTAGGCAGTTTTTTTCTCCGCTACTAAGTTACTTGCCTGTTGTTTGGGTAGCTTCTTTTCTTCCTGCGCTTCCTTTCTTTAAGCTGTTTTGTATTATTTTGTCCCTTCTTCTTGGTTTGTTAGGACCGTGGTTCATTTTTCTGCTCATTGACCTGTTCACATATGTTTAGTTTAGCGGTTTCAGGCTGTATTATCACAACTTCTTTCTCGCTACCCGCCCTACCTCACCTACCTCCACAACGCCCTGCCTGCTCCAAAAGAGAGTGAAGTCAAACGTCTCACGGTCGATCACGCACATCGGAGGCATGTTCTCGCTTTGACCTCCTTGATCTACAGCAAGGTCAACTGGGGCGATGAACCAGACACACCGAGGCGCTTTCATGCGAAGTCGGCCTCCAACCTAATAGGAATGACCTAGAAGCGATGGCCTCCAACCTAATAGCGATGGCATCCAACCTCATAGCAACA